TAAAAAATATTTTATTTATTTGAGAGAGAGAGAGAGAGAGCATGAGAGGGGGGAGGGTCAGAGGGGGAAGCGGACTCCCCGCTGAGCAGGGAACACCAGTCGGGGACTCGATCCTGGGACTCCAGGATCATGACCTGAGCTGAAGGCAGTTGCTTAACCAACTGAGCCACTCAGGCGCCCTTGTCTAATTATACTTTTACCAGAGAGAATGCATGGCAGTCTTCCCAGACTTGTGGTAGTTGCTTCCTTTGTAAGCATCAATGAGCTTTATTTTAAACAGATTCAGAAACCGATTTTCTTCAGCACATAAAGTCTGATTTCTATTTCAAATAGTTACATGTTACCCTTCATGTTGTATGTTACAAATGATGCCAGTTTTGACCACAGAGCAGTAACTCAATTGTGTATCTTATGGTAAGTGGGAGAGGCGGGAATTCCTGAGTCATACATAGACAATGTAATGAGAGGGTCCTGAGATCCTACCATAGCTTTTAAACTTCCTTCCATGCCTCAATTAACATGACCTGAAAATAAAATTATTACTAATTTTGCAGGTTTAGCCAGCACTCAAATTTTAAATTTTTCTATTTTTGCCCGGCAATAAAAAAGACGTTTTTTGTTCTTCCTACCTCAAAACATTTTTTTGTAGGTTGCTGAAATTTTTCCTTTCCATTCAGAGCTGCTAATAGAGTGAAAATAATCTAGAATAGTTAATTATCCCACTCAAACAAAGTTGGGGGGGGGACGGTTGTTTGACTTATGGATCCATTTTTTTCCCTGTCCTCAAAAAATTATGTGAGCACATTAAATTTACATTTTTTATATAACTGAAAAGTCTTAAGCTCTGCACTTAACCCTCAGAACACACTAAGCATTGTAAAAATATTTGTCAAATAAACAAATGTTGAATTAAACCTGGGATTTTCACTCTCTACCTTGTTACTTGTGAAAAAAATATTTCTCTAAGGACAGAATTTTATTTCGAACTCCATCATGCTACTGGCTCTGATCTTTAAGTGGATAATATGCTCCTGCGAGGCTGGGGGTCCACTCCATTCCCCAAGTGAGCTGTGGATGAGGCACCAATGGCCCAGTCGAAGCTGCAGCTCATGCTGAGTTCATATGGGAAGGTCACCACAACTTGTTTCATAGCAAAGGCCCCCACCAGTAACTGTGTAGAGAACAGGAAGGGCGGGGGTTGGCTCCCCTCCCCTCAGTGGGATGCTTTCCAGGAATAATTCTACCCAAGGGCTTTACCTGGTGTGGCAGAGTCACCGAGTGACTCCCCTCTGCCCTGCCATCACTGCCAATCTTGAAGCGACAAGCCTCAGGTCCTTAAGTTCCACAGCAACATTCTGTTAAAACAATCGTTAACATAGTTACTTAATTTTCACACATTTTTTGAGGTAAACACACTTTAAATTTGTAAGTCAAGGGCTGCCTATACCTATATATTAACTTTAAAAGTTAAACTTTTTTTTTTAAATTAACATATAATGTATTATTTGTTTCAGGGGTACAGATCTGTGATTCATCAGTCTTACACAATTCACAGTGCTCACCACGGCACATACCCTCCCCAATGTCCAGTTAATTACGCCTTAAAATTTCTCCCATAATCATAGAACTTTGCGTAAAAAAAGGTTACAACCCTATAAATTTTCTTTCTTATTGCTTACAGAATTTAAGAAAAAATTTATCATATATCTAAGAACAATGACAAATACTGTTTTGTTAAAACTCTGAATCTTTACCTTGGGCAGATTTCTGTGCCATGTAATTTTCTGTAAAATTAATGGATTATTTCTTAATTCCCTTGAAATGAATATGGAGCATCAATGTGATTATATAGACTCATTTGTACAAAAGTGCTTTATTTGCATTTCACAAGATTTCAGAGGTTTTTACTCAGTTGCAATTTAACAAGCGAAAAGTAACTACTACGGATATGGCTTCATTGCTTAGTTGGTTTAGCTTTGAAACTTCGAATACTTAGCAACTGCAGCTTCAGGAAATCTTGACAGTTAATGCTCATACCTCTCAAATATTCCCAGGATTTTATAAGGTTACTGAAAGAAAACTTTTAGTGAATTCTTTTTCCACCACTTCCTCTGTGTTTCTGAGTTTGGAGGTAAATCTTACTTTATGCTAGAAATGGCACTTCCTGAAAAGAGTGGCCTAATTCACCACCATACAATTCTCTTTACTTGCTAACCGTACACTAAAACAAAAAATTAAAAAAAAAATCACTTTCCACAAAATCTTGGTCAATCTATATAAGGTTTGAGATCAAAATTTATTTAAAGACTACTAAAAATAAGCATGACTTCCTTTCTTTTCATCCCTAACATTTAAGGCCACATATCTGCCAGTTAATGTGCTAGGAGGCCTTAGGAGCAAAGTTATATTGAGACCTCCTGCACACAGTAGAGAAGAAAAGCCATGTCATCAATGGCATAGGTCACAAAGACTACCACAGAGGCCTGTATAAGATGCCGTTAGGCAAGGGTCAGATCCAAAAGCCTTCTCGAAGAGGGTATTTTTAATGATCACAGTGGTAGTTTGAATGAAATACTACTGCCAAACAGCACAAGAAAATGTGCTGATCTTTATTCCTCAGCGATGTCCTTCCTTTTACATTACTAATTTTCTTAGCATACTTGTTTTTAGCTACAGTAATGATAAACTGAAGGTGGAGAAATGTTCAAAATAGTTCTAACGAAGACTTTCTAGCTTATCTTTTTTAACAGCCCAGTTGAGTGAAATATGAAACAGAATACAATTTGGAAATATTTTAATGACTTACTATGTATTGTCTTTCCTAGATGAAAACTTTTCAATTCCTCATAATAAAAGGGGAGTTCTTGGAATGGCCAACAAAGGCCGTCACAGCAACGGGTCACAATTCTACATCACACTACAACCAGCGCCCTATCTAGATAGAAAATATGTGGCTTTTGGGTACGTACATTATAAGCTTGTCTATATATATATGGTTTGGGGCACCTGGGTGGCTCAGTCGGTTAAGCGCCTGACTCTTGATTTTGGCTCAGGTCATGATCTCAGGGTTGTGGGATTGAGCCCCAAGTCAGGCTCCGCACTCACCATGGAGTCTGCTTGTCCCTCTCTCCCTGCTCCTCCCCCTGCTCACACCCTCTCTTTCTCTCCAAAATAAATAAATAAAATCTTTTTTTTTAAATGTGGGCCAGGGGTGCCTGGGTGGCTCAGTCGTTAAGCGTCTGCCTTCGGCTCAAGTCATGATCCCGAGGTCCTGGGATCGAGCCCCGCATCGGGCTCCCTGCTCCGCGGGAAGCCTGCTTCTCCCTCTCCTACTCCCCCTGCTTGTGTTCCTTCTCTCACTGTGTCTCTCTGTCAAATAAATAAATAAAATCTTTAAAAAAAATAAAAATAAAAATAAATGTGGTCCACATAGTTTATGGGTAACTGAAGATGTAATTTAAAAGCAAAAATAATACAAATACAAACATTTAGAATAAATATTTCCTAAGAAGCTTGCTATCTATAAAAAACACAGACACGATTAAGGTACAGCCATTATAATGTTCTGACTATCCATCCATCCATCCTTCTATCTTCAGCCTCAAGGATATCGTCATTCTTATTTACTATGAATAATACCATAGTGCTTAATCACACAGATATATTTAGATGCAGAAGTGAGCTGAAGCCATTTACGTGCCTGTCCATGAACACTGTGAAGAGATATATGAAAACTATCCAAATTACAAGTAACTTTTTTAACTGAACAATTTAAAATATGGAAACACCTCAGGTAATAATGACTAGAATATTATTAGCAAGTTGCTTATAGGCATGTGGACCTGAAATGGATGATGGACATACTCTTTACCGCTCCAGTGTTTACGTCTCTATTTGATTAGTGGAGTGAACATAAGTTGAAGCTTACTTGGTCTTCCCTGAAATGATGCAGAGTGTTAGAGTTTTTCTGAATAAGTATTAGATTATTCCAGCTATTCCACAGGGATAATTACTGACTCTTCATCCCATGAAAAAATTTCATAGCAGTTTTAATTTAAACTACAATTATCCCTTCAGTGTAATGCAAGTGATATTTCTAGACTGAAAAAGCAGAAAGTGTATTTTCATCCAAAAGACGATTTTATATTGATAGATGCATAACCTAAAATGATGTTATCTTCTATTCTCCCTGGTCCTAATAAACTGTATTCTGATTTTGAAAACGCATTCTTCAATTATTTTAAAATCCAAATAAAACTCACAATTTCTTGGATCATTTAAGTATCTTCCTGTCATCTTAACCACATGATTAGGTGATCCTTCCTATCTTTCCAAAAGGTTCCTTCTCAAACACACACATGACTACTTTAAAATGTTTTATGTCTCCTTTTTCACCACGTCCACCGCCAGATGCATATAGCCTAAAGTCTAGAGTGGCATTCGGGGCCTTTACTGCTGACCCCACATCTATTTCAGCTTTCACTTCTGTTAGCCTCCTCATTCATTCAACCAGCATTTTATTAGGCACCTACTATATGCCAGTCATGGTGCTCAGTCCTGGGGAAAGAGTGAAGAGGCACAGTTTCTGCCCTTTAGGGAGTCTATAGTGTATTAGAAAACCAACAACTGTAAGTGAGACATAGGCTATGCCAGTTCTGTAAGAGTACACTGGGGGTACAGGAGAAAGGGAACACAGCACCCTCCAACTCCTCTAGTAAAAGCAGGCACAGATCCCTAGATGGCAGGGGCGTGGAGGATGTGGTCTCCTTTTGACAATTGTTATTTTCCATGTGATTCACCTTCCTCCAAGGGAATCTTGCTCAATTTCTTTGTCACCACCACACTGGCTTTGGGGGGGCACTGCACCTCTTTTATTGTTCTAGCCCAAGTATGATCTCAATCGATCCCTTAAATCTCCAAATCAGAGCTGAGTCTGGGCTGAGATATTTAAACAAGACCTTAAAGAACACTAGGGAGAAGCACCATAATAGGCAAGTAGATGCTCTGACAAAGTGTAACTCCTTCAGGGGTATCATCCTTCTCCACTGTAGGGCTGCCCCTGGTGTTAATGCTTTTTCTTCCGATCGTTTCAGACCGTCCCCAGGTTTATCTGAGCTTCTGGAATCCCAGACATGGTTAGCAAGGTCCAGAGACAGACCCTCCTTTTGAGCCCTAGTTTCTGGTACATGAACTTGTCCCTTCAGATGGATAACACTAGGAATGCCCTTCAGGGGAGACTGTCTCGCCCAATGGTTTCATAGGGAAAGAATGTCAAAACACAAGTCTGTAAGATCCCCATTCACACACACATAGGTAGAAGGAGTACATGTTGGGACAGTGGGGGGGGGGATTGATTTCATTATAGGGGACTCCCAAATGGGGGGTGAGATGAGTATTGAAATTCAAGTAGAAGTTAGCCAGAGGAGGCTGAAATCAAAATGAGTAAAATCAAATTTTAGGAAGAGTGAAAAGCCTTTGCAGGGGGGCCCTAAGGAATAAGGAGAGCCCCTTATCTATAGTTCATTTGGTCTGGCTAGAGCTTAGCACCCTAGGGGTGAATGGAGGGAGAGAGGAGGAGACGGTGAGGCCCAGGGCCCAAAGGGCTAGGAGTGCCATGCTGCTAAGCGGGTCCCCCACCCGAAGAGGATGGGAAGCCATGGAGGAATTAATTGGGAGCAACACGACCAGGTTCTCGTTTTGAAAAAATTCTTTTCAGCAGAAGTGGGGAATTAATTGGCAAAGGATGAAAATGAGATTGGCAAATCCAGAGTGATGACTGAGCTGAGATCTGAAGGAAGACCAGGAGGTAGGGAGGTGAAGGGGAAGTGGGGGGCAGGAGCACAACAGACAGACGTGGCAGGAAAGCAACATGGGATACTGAGGTACTGAAGTCAGTCCAGCTGAGGCAGAGAGCCAGGGGAACAACGCCCCAGGACAGCACTGGGGGGTAGCCGGGAGGCAGCCCATGGCAGGCCATGGTGGGAGATTTTTGGTCTTTATCATAAGGATAATGGGAAATTACTGAAGTATTTTAAGCGGGGAGGTGAGAGCAGGCTTGCAATTTTTTTTTTTTTTTTTTTAGGTTTGCATTTTTAAGAGATCACTCTGACAGCAGTGAGGATGACAGATTGAAAGGGTCCCAGAACAGAGGTGGAGGAACCATGGCAAAGTGGACACATCTAGGACTATTTATATTTATGACTGATAATCTGATTTATAGGAAATAGCCATAGCTAAACAGGATAAGACTGGATTTAGGAATGGAAGCTAATGTGAAAATTTCTGACTAAATTTTCCATTTTTTCCTTCTATACAGGCAATTGACTGAAGGAATCGAAGTTCTTCAAAAACTAGAATTGGTTCCAACAGAGAATGAAAGACCAAAACAACGGTGTATAATTGTTGACAGTGGAGATCTTTATGCCTGATTTTCATATCAATATTTTCTGACAACTTATTACTATGCATCTGATAAGCTGTTTCTATATTTAAACAGTACTTGATAAAATTTAATTTGAAAGCTGTACAGATGCTGTAGGTTGGCCCTCCCAACACCCAATCCCTCCCCATTTTCCTTTCTTGCCTCTGCTGCAGAGACTATAAAAAGCAAAACACTTAATTTCCCAGCCTCCTTTGCAACCAGTAGTGGCCATGGGATACCATCTGGCCAGTGAGACAAAAGTAGAATGCCAGTGGTCCTGTCCCTTCCCCTCAACCAGCCTTGAATGCAGACAGGTCAGAGCCGTGAAGGAAAGGCCAAGAGATCTGGAGATGTCAGCCCCAACTCTTGAGCTGCAGAACCAATACCAGCAAGCACCTATCTCTGGACTTTTTACTGTGGGACAAATAGGCTCCTGCTTGTTGACATTACTACTGGTTGATTATTTTGCAACCCGTAGCCAAAACCACTCTTAATTTAGCAGCAGTACCTACCGGCCTTCCAATCCTAAAGCATTTGGAAGAGAACTGTGTTGTTTGTAAACTACATTTCTGCCCTAAGAAACATGGTAAATAACCAAATAGAAAAGAGGCAATAGAAAAATTCATCATAATATTTCACAGTTTATACACAGCATTCAGAAAAAGGCATATACTTTGGATATTGTTATCTGACATGAAGAGAAGGCTTAGCTCTGAGCTACACCAACCATAGGAAAACCAAGGGCTTGGGTTAATCATCCCAACCCAAATAAACCCTGTAGTGGTTGACTCCTGAGATGTCACTGGGGATCCTGCTTTATCAGCTGCTCCTTAACCTGCGATTCTCAAACCCATCACCTGGGGAGCTTTTAAAACACAGACTGCTGGACCCTGGCCTTGATCTACTGAGTCAGAGTCTCTAAGTGTGGGAAAGGGACTCTGTGCATTCATTTAGCTCAACCCCGAGGTTCTTGTTTAGCCAGCTGGGCACTAGTCATTTGGGAATCACTTTAAGACATAAGTAACTGGTTTCAGCCCTCTCTTTGTAGTTAACTGAAGTGCGTGACTCTGTTGGTGGTGACCTTGCTCAGCTGCCTCCACCGCCACTGACACCGCATTCATGCTCTGCTCAAGGCCATTACGTTTTGAGTTTTTCTTGCCCTTTGCGGAAGGTCTGTCTTCCAAGAATGATCTCTCTTTGAGCCAATCTTAAGGAGACAGGTCTCTAATTGACTTGGAGGTTGCCAAAAGGAGGCATGATTTTTTTACTTTTCATTATGAAATGATTATAAATTTACAGGAAGTTGCAAAAATAGTACAGAGCAAGCAGTCCTGTGTACTGATCACCCAGGTTCTTCGATGGAGATACCTTACACCACTAGTGTACAATATATCAAGCAGGCAACTGACATCAGTACCATGTGTGTTATCATTTTATCATGTGTAGATTCATGTGACTGATACCACAGTCAAGTCACGGAACTTTTCAAAAAGACCTCCCCTAGGCTACCCCTTTATGGTTACACTACTCCCCTGCTCCCCACCATCCATCCCTAACTCCTGACAACTGAAATGTGATTTTTTTTTTTTTAAATAACAGCTTTACTGCTATGTGGTATATGGTTTTATACTAAGATTGGAGGTGGATGGGGAGAAAGCATACTGCCTATGTCACATTCTCAAGTGACCCAGAGGCAGCAGAGTGTTAAGAATGTATGTTCTGGAGCCAGACAGCCTGGGTTTGAATCCTAGCCCTGCCATTCCCTAGATGCATGGACTCAGGCAAGAGCCTCCCTGTGCCTCTATTTCTTCATGTCAAAGCAGAGTACCTACCATATGGAGTTGTTGTGAAGGTCCAGGGAATCAATAATTTGTAGGCAGGATCTAGAATAGGACCTTTTTATGCTGTATGTGCTCATTAAATGTACGCTCAACAAATTACTGGTGTATAACCTTCAGGGGTTGGCCTAGGAAGTTGTATTTTTTAAAAGCTCCTCAATGACTCCGATTAATAACGAGATTTGAGAAACACTAAAGAGGAGACAGTTCCTCTTCCTGTCTTCTGAAGAGTTCTGGCCAACCTGAGAGGTTAAGCTGTTTGCATGAAGTCTCCAGATCCATTCTCTGGACCTTTGGATGGGTTCCTCTGGTCATACTGGTGACATTTCAAAGGGGAGCTAGGCTTGCCATGGGGCCTCTCACCTACTAGTGAAGCATGTGATGAACGAAACTGATGCTCTGCAGAGATCCTAGTTAAAACAAATTAACAAGCATTAGTCATGTAATAACAAGCAGCAGAGCAATTCTTACTTGCTCTTACTTACTTGCATGAACCCATATACTAGGGAATTAAACATTTTATCTGATATTGTGAAAGAACTGAGATATTTGCATGGGTGTAAGAAACTGATTCCAGCTCTCTTTTTTTTTTCAACTTACCTGCAATGCAAAGGTAGAACTCTGCCAACCTTCTAAAGGATGGCAAGTCCCCGGTCCCTTTGTCCGCTCCCACTTCCTACTCTCTGGCTGTAGAAACTTTAATCACAGATCTGTATATGCAGTGGTTCTTATTACCACCATTTAAAGGTACACACAGTGATACATCTGTATTAGAATGTATTCTCTATCAGAATATGTATGTTTAACCATGTCATTTGAAGAAATTGATTCAAGGATTCAAAAGCTTATCCCAATTAACTCCAAATATAAGACTTTGATTTAACCAAATTGAAAGACTCTGATTAAACAGAAGGAATTCTAGACTTTTCCATGTCTACAAATATGAAAGTAAAGGCAGTCTGATGATTTATACAAAATGTTATGTGATCTTGCCCTAACTGCTGATATGGCAAAGTCAAACTCATATCCTGTAACTTACACTAAGTCATGTTAATAAGGGGAGTTTGGTATCTGGACATTTTTCTCATTTTGGGAGATTTGAGATAAACATTTAAAATTCTATCTAAAGAATTTGTTTGCCCCAACTGCAAACCATGCCCATTATTTGTTCATGAATGAACCAGTCTGGCAACCTCAGGATTCCGTATTTTGAGTTTTTGCACTTTATACATATCTTAAATTAGACATGCAAACATTGACCCATCAGAAGGGACAGCAACTAGAGGCCGGCTTCAGGGTCCTGGAGCTCCTGCTGGGCTAAAGGTGAGCCCTCCAACTGCAGGAGAGGCAACAAGGCAGAGGGGTCTTAGGTCACGGGGACTGGACTCTAGCACTCAGGACAAAATCCCCTGAATATTTTAAAAAACCAGAATGTCCACCTGGGAGTGTTCTGGCTGAAAATCAGCTCTCCAAGACAGGATGAGGAAGAACCCAGTAATACCTGGGCACAGGGGAAAGTTGTAGTAATGCATGGTATCAGAAAGCTGCCTGGGGCGGGGCGCCTGGGTGGCTGAGTCGTTAAGCATCTGCCTTCAGCTCAGGTCATGATCCCAGGCTCCTGGGATGGAGCCTCACATCGGGCTCCCTGCTCAGTGGGAAGCCTGCTTCTCCCTCTTCCACTCCCCCCTGCTTGTGTTCCCTCTCTCGCTGTCTCTGTCAAATAAATAAAAATCTTTAAAAAAAAAAAAAAAGAAAGAAAAAAAGAAAAAAGAAAGCTGCCCGGGGTGTAGTTTAGCTTGTACTTGGGTTGTTCCAAAGGGATATGTTAGAAAAACAGATTCCTTCTGTTTTCTAAAGGACTAAGAGATATAACGGAAAAAATTCTAGCAGACCCCGGGTTTGAAGCAGAGTAGAAATAAAAATAAATACATCTCAGGTGCCTGCCTAGACAGAATCTACATCCAAGAGTTTTGCATTTGTATCCTGCCCTTATATTTGTAAAACAAAACAAAAACTTTACAAAATGTTTTGCTTGACGTCATCTTGTAGATGAGGCACTATTAAGAACTGCAATTTAGGAGGATAGTTCTCCACAAGTTATAATGTAAAGCAGTCTTCTCAAACTTTAAAACATATGTACATATGGATCTCAAAAAAAAAAATGCAGATTACCATTTCGGAGGTCTGAGGTGAGGCCCGAGATTTTGCGTCTCTAACAAATTTTTGGGTGGTATGAGTGTACCAGTTCGTGAAACACACCTCCAAGTAAAGCTGTGGTTTTCAACTTAAATTGCAGATTAAAAACACCAGGAGAGCTTTTAAAAATCCTGATGCCCAGGCATTTTTCCAGAGTAATTAAATTGGTACCCTGGTATCAGGATTTTTCAAAACTTCCCAGGTGATTCCTATGTTCAGCCAAGGTTGAGAACAACTGCTCTCAAGCATAATGCTCCCTTCTGTAACCCTAGAACAGTTATGGAAGAAATATCCATAGTCAAAGTAAAGAGCTTATGATAGTATCTCTAGTATTTTATCATCAATCTTAATCACAGTGTTAATAGTTAAGAATGTGAATCTACAATTTCAGCTCACTATTCATCTTCGATTTATTACAATCCTTTGTTGAAACTTATTTAAATATTACAATGTTTAATATATGTTGTTAAAACTGTTATAGACGCCAGTCCTTGCTCTGGAACAGTGAAGTGACTTTGGAAGTCTTCCCTGAGCTAGCTCAACAGATGCCACGAAAATAAAATAAGCCAATGCTTTCCTAGTCTTAAGAGAGTGAAATGTCCTCTTATAAAGACTATAAAAATCTGAAGACTAGAGTTGAACACCCAGATGACATATTGTAAAACAATGTCCTCCACAATGGGGCGGATTGATCCTAGGGTGTAAACAAGGTGATCCATGGGGGTATGGGAAGAAAACAGAACTTCTAATTATGTTTTTAACCTCCCAAAAACAAAAACAAAGTTGACTAGTGCCTTTCTTTGGGCGTCAGATGGTGCTGTGCATACTGTGGAAGCCATACCCTGAGAAGAGGAGAGGGTTCACTGAAAGCGAATAATGGGATCTCGTTTAAACACTAGGCTGCACTTTCAATTCTTCTGGCCATAGGTTGGATCAAACATCGTGTCTCATGTTTACATGAAGCGAATCGCCAGCTGGTGTAATCAATAGAACAACAAATGCTCATAGTCATGAGGGTACAAAAGAGCCCGACTGATTAGATTCTAGAAAGTTTTAAAGCCTTCA